AGGACATGACTTTCAAGTACTTTCCTTTTGCCGTTGATCTGGACTTTTCCAAAGTACTGTATGCCTTTTGAGAATTTCAAAACAGCAAAACAATGAGCACAAAATTCTACATGAAATATAATATTTGTTAGTTTCTTTACCTCTGTCCCAGTAATCTTTCCCAAAGTGACACAGTGCCCCCACCACCAACACAACACTCAATAAAACAGTGACAATAATCCAAGGTGTGGCAGGATGGCTTTCATTTTCGGAACTATCTGTAAGTATATTAAAATATATTTGTAAATATGAACATCGTTCATAAGTCGTTTAATTTATCTTTTTAAAAAATTGGAAAAAAAGCAAAAATAAAAAGGTCAAACAGGAAGATGAAAATCAGTCAAAGGGTATGTGAAAGTTTAGTACACCGGTTCCATTTGCTTAAAGTGTACCTTTAACACTGCACACTGGAAATTCCACAGTATTTCAAAAAGCTACAGATTTGAATGACGGCAGTCAAATGTATCTATGGAATTAATTTTAAAACTTTGTTGTTTCTCACCTGTGTTCTGACCTGTGACATTCAGCCAGCTCACTGGTGACTCTCCAGCTCCTGAAATGCTGCATTTGTAAAGTCCTTCATGAGAATATAAAACTCTGCCGATGGTCATGTTTCCTGTGGAGCTCTTCCAGATGTGACGTCCATCTTTGTAGAAATCAGCTGTGAAGTTGGAGGAAGTTGTCTTGTTCCTGCAGCTCAGAGTCACAGCTTCTCCCTCCATCACAGGAACAGCAGGACTCTCCAGGATCACAGAACCAGCTGAAAACCAACATGTATAAATCTATTCAATGATGTGTTTGATTATGACAACATATTGCTTACTAAATGGAAACTTACCAGAAACAGTGATGTTGATAATGTTGCTTTTCTCCCCTCCTCCAGTCTCACATATGAACTCTCCACCTTCTTCTGTATAAACATTTTTTATAGAGCAGGACAATCCTGTTGCTGTTTTCTCATTAGTGTAGCTGCATGATTTCATTTTCCCTCTCAACTTATGTACAATATTATAATGAGAGACGCCCTCACAGTAAAAAGTTACTGACTCATATTCAAAGAACTGTGATCTGTTTGGAACAACACGAAGAAAAACTGCACCTGAGATAAGGAAAAGGAGAAATTCAGTTCAGTTTTATTGTTTAATAAAAATGTTGTCAAACTATACAGAACAAAATAACAACAGATAAAAATAACGGCAAATATGTATCAAATTTACATTGATTAAATATACAGGAGGGATGAACACATGTCCTACATCTAATTTCTAAATTATCTATTTCTCCATCAAACAATTGCAAAAAAAATACTGATATCAGTGAGCAGGTAGCTGGGACTCACCAACGTTGTCATCATGTGCACACAGCAGGATCTTGACAGTTATCACTGAAGAGAATTAAAGAGCTATCTATTAAAATAAATACTTTATTATGATCTTAATAATTACTGACATTTTTAACCTTTATATTGCTGAGTTTTATTGTGGATGTAAGACCGTACTCACACAGCTTGATGCAGGCAGCTCTGAACACCATGATGTCGGGCTGCAGACTGAATACTAAAGTGTGAAAACTGAGAGCAGGGGCGTCTTCCTGTTTGTCTTCCTGTTCCTAAAGCAGTTTTACTACCACTACCTCTACTACTTTCTACTATTTCTTTTACAACTCAATGCTAATTAATGTAATCATTTAACTTCACTAAAGTAGTTTCCACAGTAACCAAGTTGATCTTGTGTCAGTTTAAGCTTCAGTGTTTCAGTTTCCTATCTGTGGGTGGAGCAAGGAACTGCTTCAGTGTCTGAAAAATGTTAGCTGTTCAACAAATGTGTAAAAGCCCTTTAGAGAAATAGGAGAGTTAACACTCCTGAAGATAAAGTGATTATGTCATTCAAATGTAGATTGTGTTCCTATTAGTGGCTATTTCAGTAAAGACAGATCATTAGAAGGAACTGAACATGATTGATTCATGTACAGAATTCAGACTGGTGGTTAGACTCCAATGGCCCATCACAGCATAATGGATTCCTATCGGTGATAGGGATTAGGCAAGAAACCCCTGGTGGTTGTGGTGGTGGTGGAGCCTGAGTGACATAGGAGGAGGTGGGTTGCACAAAGGTGTCTGCAAGAGAAAGTCTTATGCCGGCTCACACTGTGCGATTTTTGGCCCATTTTGAGACGATTTTTGAGTCGTGCGACCGTTTTGGCGATCGGCCCGATTTTGGCCTTCAT